CCTTTGAATAAGCCCTCAGGTGACTCTTAGGGTCACTGCATAAGGGTACAGATCAGGCTGGGCTTTGGTTCTGGCCAACCCCACGAATGTTTTCTGCTTTTGGTTTCACAGATTCTCTTTAGTGTGTCTTCGTTGTATTAATTTCTGCTTCATCTCTAATTTATTTTCCTTCCAATTTATTTGTTTGCATGTAAACTTTACATGTTACTTTTTCTAACTTCTTAAACTCTTGGCCAAATAATTTTCAATTTTCTGTATAAACATGTAGAGCTACACATTTTTAAGTATTGTTTTAACCATATTCTGCATATTCTTGTTTTTTCCTGATTTCCATTATTATTTTTTGGCCCATGAGTTATTTAGTAGTTATTACATAGAGAGAGGTTTAGATGTATCTCTATATTCTTTGTTCTATTGGGGTACTTTAGGCTTCAGAAGCAAGGTTCACAAAGCAAAGCCTCTTCTCCCTGTAACCTTCTCCTCGCTTCCTTTCACCTGTTTCTTCTCCTCCCTAAGGCAGTCCATAGAAACTAGGATTTTTCTTTCCTAAGATGAGTCATTGAAACAAAACATACAATCTTTCCCTGGCTGTCTGTCTTGCAGCTGGCCATAAAGAAATTCTCTAGTATAAGATCCAAAAGCAGTCCTGTCCCATGCCCATGAAAAAGGCATGTTACACAGAGAGGCTGGAAAGGGTCACGACAGACAGGTTTTGCTGGATTCCTCCGCCTTCGCATCAGATCGGATCCTTTTGTCCAGTCACACATCAACACAGCTGTGGGTGCTTCAGTGTTGCCTATGTAATAAAGTGTCCATAAAAAACCAAAAGGACAGGATTCAGAGAGGTTTTGGACAGCTGAATGTCCTGAGGCTTGCAGGATGGTAAATAAGAACTCATTCATGTCCTGGGAGGTGGCACACCCCCCATTCCACAGGGACAATGGCTTCTGCATTTAGGACTCTTCCAGACTTTACCCTGTATATCTCTTTCTCTGGCTGCTTATGTTTATTCCTTATTATATCCTGTAAAATAAACCAGCAAATGTATGCATAGTGTTTCCCTGAGTTCTGTGAACTGTTCTAATTTCAGGAGGGGTTCACGGGAATCCCAGTTTTTCTGGTTGGTCAGAAGTTCCAAAGCCCCAGAACTGTGACTGGGTTTAAAGTGGGATCAGTCGTGAACATTAAGTTCTCAACCTGTGGGATATGGTGCCATTTCCAAACAGACAGTGTTAGAACTGAATGAGAGGACACCCAGCTGGTGTCTCCCGCAGAATTATCTGCTTACTGGTGGGGGTCAGAGAGGCCATCTGTTTTGATTCACGCGAAAGCAAAGTAGTTTCTTTGTTCTAGATGCACGTTGTTTCCCAAATTTCTGAACCTATGGAGTTTTCTAAAAATTCGCTGTTTATTTCTAACTGCATTGTTTTGAGAGAACATAATCTATGTGATACTAACTTTTCGGTATTTGGTTAAGAGTTGTTTTGTAGTCCAATATGTAACCAGTCTTTTTTTCTTTTTTTTTGGTTTTTCTCTGGTACCGGGAACCGAACTCATGACCTTGCGCTTGCCAGGCAGGCACTTTGCCGCTGAGCTAAATCCCCAGCCCCTGTAACCAGTCTTTGTAAATATTCTTTAGGCTTGAAAATTATGTGTTTCTATTTATTGGGTGGAGAATTATTTGTAAGATCAAAGATGTTAATAGGACTGTTCAAATCTCTTATAACTTCATAAATTAATTTTTGCTTGATTGATCCAATCCCATGAGAAGTGAGTTAAAATCTTCAATAGCAACTGTGGATTTGGCCGTTTTTCCATAAGTCTGTCAATTTTTACCTTCTTATTTGATGTTTTATTGTAAGTTTATACTTGCTTATCTTTTCACAGTACTGTATAGATCCTACCATTAGTCTGATTCCCAATCCATTTTGGTTTCTTGATTCCACATTTTAGAGAGTACTTAGATCAAGCTGTGATCCTGGGGTGACTCAGGATGCTAAAAAGGGCCAATTTCATGCCTGAGTACAATGAAATATGTTTAATTTATAGTCTTATTATATATTATACACCCATGTTTTTAATTATGTACTTGGCTTGCTTATTCTCTATGAAGAACTGCCCCAAGGGCATCCATTGAGCTTTCAGGTCTGTTGTGACCTTCACCTGACTAGATTTAATGCACAACAATTGTTTAAAAGTGTCTTTTGTCTTTGTACTTTTTTTTTTGTCTTTTTTGAGACAGGGTCTTGTTATGTAGTTCAGGCTGGCCTTGAGCCACTTTGTAGCCCAGGCTCGTCTTGAACTTGCAGTAATCCTCCTGCCTCAGCCTCTTGAGAGCTGGGATTACTGGCATGCGCCACCACGCCCGGCTGTGTTTGTAATTTCGTGAGTTCTGCTGTTCACAGATTCTCTCTCTGCTAATTAACAGGATGCTAGCGCTTCCTCTTGGGAATGCAGATCTTTCTAATGAACGGTTGTTATTAAAAGAACTTCAGAAAGATGAGCTTTTCCCTCTTGTAGCGAAGTAACAACCTTGTATCTCAGGGGAGAAAATGAAAAACATTTAAAAAGAAAAAACTACCATTCTTGCCTTCTGTGCAAAACTGAGACTGGCATGAAAATACATCATTCTCTCTATTTGCCTTTACAAATGTATATGCATATATTTGTAATGTTTTTGTTGCTAGTCACAAAAGGAGGTTTGAATTTATTTCTTCTGCCCTCATTCATATCTCAGGACTCTTCTTGGAGTCCACACTGATGCAGAGAATTTGAGAGATTTATTTTATTTAAATGAACACCTGCTATATAACTTTTTTTCTGTCTTCTTTTAGCCATTTTGTACTCTTATGCTTTACTGTGATGAAATAAATACCATAAAGCTGTATTTTTTTATAAAACAATCCAATCTGGAATCTTTTAACTGGAAAGATTAATGCATTGATAGTAATTGTGCCCATTAACACATGAAATTGTTTTGTCACTTTATTTGGTGTCTTTTATTTTTGCTTCTTTTTTATCCTTTTCTATCTTCCTTTGTATTTTTTATCCCCCTTTACTGGTTTTAAAGTATTTCATACATTCTATTTCTGTTATTTTCTCAAAAAAATCTTAGTGTAATACATTTATACACACATACATATTCTTAGTGTAAATACATATATACACCTAAAATTTTAAACATACACTGTATATATGTATATATTCTTAGCATTTATATATTATACTCAATTTCTAATTCTATCCCCATGTCAAATACATCCTGTTTAAGTTTGCATTTTTTCTCGAAGCTATTTCTAGTTAATTTTTTGAGATATAAATTCCAATTAATATTCTTTTTATTTTGTATGAACTGCTACTTAATTGGCTTCAGGGTCATTCTTTTCATTTTCTAAAAGTTCTTCCAGGTTTTAAAAAAGCTATTTCTATTTTTTTTATTTTTTTTTTTATTTTTTTTTTTATTTTTTTTTGTTTTTCTCCGGTACCGGGAACCGAACTCACGACCTTGCACTTGCCAGGCAGGCGCTTTTGCCGCTGAGCTAAATCCCCAGCCCCTAAAAAAGCTATTTCTAGTCTGTCTTGATAATGTTTTATTCTTTTCTCGTATCTTTATTCTTCTATATATTTAGTAATTTAAGCATACTTAACAGTCTCTATTAGTTCTACTATCTGAAGTTGATAGGAGTTCTGCTGCAATTGTATTCTGATTCTCCTTAACAGTGGGATGCTGTTTTTTGTAATTTGCATCATAAACTCATCTTCAGGAAACTTTAAGAGAATATTGTGAAGTTTAAAGATAAGGCATTACAGAGAGTGTTAATAGCTTAAGAAGTACTTGGATATAATTTCTGCCCTGAAAATTCCAGTAAGTAACACAAACTTACTCAACTTACTTCTCAAATGTTGCTTAAATCTAGCCACTTTCTCATCTCCACTGTTTTCAGACTGACTAGTTCATTCTATCATTGACTCCAGCCTGGACTGCTGTGGTTCTTTCACATCCACTCTGAGTCTCCCCCAGTACACCGTCCACACTATGGCCTGAGCAAACTTACCCAGTTATGTACACGTGAGCACAGCTTACCCAAATACGAACTGGGCAAGTTTCTCTCTTCCTCTCTATTGCTTAAAACTCTCATTCACTGGCTTCCTAATCAGGCTCTTATATTCTTAACATGGCCTGCTTGGCTCTGCATGGCTAGCGACTAACTACCTTTAGGACCCATCTTTACCCCATGCTCTTTTCACCCTCACTTGGGGTGTTCCAGCCACTCTAGCTCTAATTCTGTTACCGGAAGCCACAATGTCCATCTCCGCACAAAGCTTTGGTCCACACTCTTTCCTATTCCTGGATTGCCAGTTCTCCTACCCTTAATTTTGTTCAACAAGTATCTAAATCCTTTACTTCCTTGTTCAAGCCTCACTTCCTCAGTTCTCATCTCTTTCTTTCAACATTTTTCTGTTAGTTTATAACTATGAATCCATTATTGTGGCTAATTGTTAATGTGTGGCTCTCCCACAGTGCTACAAGTTTTCCTGAACCAAGAATCTTGTCTAGTTTTGCTTATCACTGTAGCTTGCATAGTAATGTGTTTAATGGAATACTCTTTTTTTTTTTTTTTTTTTGAGATAGGGTCTTGTTATGTCATTCATAACTGGTTTTGAACTCACTATGCACCACTATGCCCAGCTCAAAACATATTCTTGAATGAATCGATAAGCATTAAAATATAAATTTATTCAAACTAATTCAAAGGAGAGATGAAGTGGGTAAAACTATAGAAAAAACAAGTGACAGCTACATGAAGAATCTACTGTATTGTATTCGTCTCTTAAAATTTCTGTATGCTTGAAATTTTCCATAAAAAGACTGTGCAATTACTAAAAATTCAGAGTATTGTATTTGACTACTTGGATAAGCGGTGAATTAAACCTTAAAATACTGCCTTTTTAGAATCAAACTGAAATATTTTACTTAGCCAAAAATACATTATACTGACCTGAAAATATTTCGGTAATGGTTAATTGGACCACTTAATGCTCCAGGCTGAGAAAAGACATAAATATAAGCTTCCAGATCTTCTGCTGTTAATTGACATCCTTTTCTTCCAATGCCAGTGCTCTGACTGGTAAAGAGATGTTTCAAAGTCTAATTTCAGTGAAAAGAGAATAAACTTTTCAATTATCCAATAATAGCTAAATCTTTAGCTTTAAAAGGGGACAGTGATCAGTGTGTAGTGACAATGCTTAACTTTTGCTCCCGTTGGGTTCAAGATTTCGTTGTTTAAAAACACATTTTATGAATTTCTGTGTTCTTGACTGTTTTATATTCTTCTCTTTTAACCCCTTTTGTATACTTCACCCTTATGAAAAGTGTCCTGTATTCTTAGTGCCTCTTTTCACATTCTATAAGGTCCAGCTCAAGTACTACACCTACCAAAAAGTCTTCCTTAACATCCAGCTGTTGCTTAATGACAACCAATCTACTCTCCTACAAAGTTGGGACACATTAGACCAATATATACATTTTACATCATGATTCAGTTCACAGTGGTTTCATAAATATATGTGACATATAAAATAAAAATTTAAAGACACAACCCTTGTTCTTATAATGCACACTGATACTTTAATTAAATTCTGTGAAACCTGATTTTTAAAAATTCTACCTGCAAGCTAATAATGCTGTGTAACAAGCATATACTCATTAAATTGACAGCTGTTTAATGATAGGAAAGAATAAAGCTTTTTCCTGCCATTCTTGTGTAAACTCTAAGAATAACTGAACAGATGATGTGGAGAAATTCTTTGCAAGATAATTCCAATTAATAAAGGAGAAAAGATGACAGAAGTAAAAGAATCATTATTTTGTACACTTGAATGAAACAGTAAACCAAAGCTATCATCATTATTGTATGCTAACACTCATTTGGTGAAAGAGGTTCAGGAAATTTTGAATCAACTGACAATTCACTGATGGGCCCACTGATTAGTGTTGGCATCATAAAACCAGGTCCTTCTTCAAGGTGATACATTAGAAAATGTAGAGCAACACCTACTAAGTGTTCTTGTCAAATTAAAACTCAGTCTAATCAAGCCTCTAGATCAGTAGTACCTATGAGGTAGAAAAAAATGTGGGTTGAGGAAAAAGTTAAATATCACCATGATGAACAAATTAGTCAAATCCAAAATGTGGATCTTTCTTCAGGACAAATAACTCATTTTCTCAATAAGTAAATGGTATATTTTTTTAAAAGAAAAAAAACCCAGAAAAGTATTTGTAATAAATTTTAAAAGCTGTAATAGCCAGGTGCTATGGCATGTGCCAGTAGTCTCAGGTACTCAGGTGGCTGAAGCAGGAGGATCACTTGAGCCCACAAGCTCAAGACCAGTCTGGGAAACATAGAGAGACTTTTTTAACTTAAAAAGGAATTGCCTAGGGCTGGGGATGTAGCTCAGCGGCATAAGTGCCTGCCTGACAAGAGCAAGGCCATGAGTTCAATTCCTGGTACAAAAAAAAAAAAAAAAAGCCACAATAGCCAAATATAATATATGAACCTTGTTGGTTCCTGATTCAAACAAATGAAGACTAGCAAGGAAGTTGAAATTGTTAAGAAAATTTGAGTGGGTATTAAATGATTAAAAAGCTGTCATTCATTTTGTTAGGTTTGATAATGGAACTGTGGTATATTAAAATAATTTAAAAGCCCTTATCAACTGGGAAGTAGCTCAGTGGTAGAACATGAACTTAGCATACATTAAGACCTTAGGTTCAATCTTAAGCTTTAAAACAAAAACTTGATCTGTCAGAGACATACACAATTATTTGCAATAAAATTATATTGTGTCTTTTAAAACTTTCAATATCTAACATCACTTTGGTTATATAAGAAGTGTTCAATATGCTTCTAAGATACTCACATATCAGTGTACCTGGTACACCAACACCTGCATCTTTGCTGTGCCTAGAGGTGTTTTATTCCCAAGGGCTTTCATTTATGCTGCTATCAAACTTTCTTGTCTGGTGATGGAGACCACTATGAAGTGGCTCTGAACAGAATTTAATATTAACCAGTTGGCTTCCTGTGCGTACTTGTGAGTTGTCCGAAGCTCAGGCACCTTGTCTGAAGATGGGCAGCGGACTCTTAGTAAATGAACCTCTATGAGTCACTGGTCACTGCTGAGGCCTGTATTGGCCTGTGAAGCTGTGACGCCTCAAAGGACAAGATAAGGCCACAGCTGAGGACGTCTGGCTCCAACCCCAATGAACTAAAAGAAGACTGCAGCTGCAGTCTTCACACTCCTACAATAAACACCAACCTAAAGATAAGGTAGTTCCCCCCACTGGCAAAATTTGCTACTTGGGAAAATTCTCCCAAGGTCCTGCTCAGATTCCTGTGTTTTTTTTTTAAATATCCCCTTCCTTTGTTTGTAAACCAAATAAATATGGGATGCCTAGAGAAGTCTTTATCTCAATCCAGAGAATCTCAAAGTCTGTAAGAGAGTTAGACCCTCCTGGAACCCTACAATCATTTCAGTTGTCTCATTTATGTAAGCCCTTGCGGTCCACTCATTTGGGAGATTGTGGGCCTGATCAGCCTGCAGTAACTAAGGGTATTAACACAATAGTCTGGTAGTCAGACTCCCTCATCTCTCCATGACACGTTCTCTAAAGGGAGGTATGCCTGTAGAAGTATGGGCTCTCACAAAAAATTGGACAGTTGGGCATTCAAATAAATGAACAGAGACTATAAAAACAACTTAGTCGATAGGTTAGTCCTTAAATCATTCACTAAGTGCTAACATGTTAATTTCACTTTTCATTCACAATGTTTGTCTTACCTTGAAATCATTTATTGAGAACATAAATTCTGGGAACTGTGGTATTTGGAAGAAGTAGTAATAGCTAGATTTGAATAGCTGGGCCGGGTGTTGTAAAATATATTCTGAAATTAAAATGCTATGTTAGACTTTATTGCAGAGGTATAAGTTATTTACTACTGAAAGAACTTTTTAGCATAATTTTACTTTTAAGGCAATCACATAAAATAATCCACATAAAAGAATCTATGTATTGCTGTTTAGAACAATTGCTATAATCTTTAATTTTACCATATGTATTTTTAGTACTTATAAAATTCATAGCGCTTTAAGCAGAAAGAAGGCTCCACTTTATGAAGTCCTGACTCAGAAGAGAGTAGGAGCACACTGCTTTCCCTCCAAAGTCATGAGCAGCAACCTAATGCTTTTCTCAGGAATTCACGATAATGTAATTTTCCCTTCTTAAAAAGATTTTTCCTTACAAACTGATTCAAACTGAACATCTTATTCATTTGCCCTCAAAAGGAATTAGAGAGTTTCCTATGAATTTATTCATGTAGCTGGGCGTGTTGGCACACGCTTGTAATCCCAGCACTCAGGAGGCTGAGGCAGGAGGATCGTTGTGAGTTTGAGAACAGCCTGGGCTACAAAGTGAGCTCAAGAGCAGTCTGAACTGCACAGCAAGACCCTGTCTCAAAGAAACAACAAAAAAAAAATTCATTCATGTATCTAGAATATTTATTCATTCAATGAATATTTGTGTGTCTACTGTGTGCCATGGAAATTCAGCAATGAATGAGACAGAAAAGGTCCCTGTGAGCAAGAACCTTGCACAGTAAGTGACAAATACTTAAAAAATATCACTTAGAGAGTAACAGTGTCATAAAAAAATACAACCAGGTAATCTTACTGAGAGTGACGGTGGCATGGGGTGGAGGGATGAGTAGACATGATCAGAGAAGATCTCTCTGGGATGTGATATGTGGGCTGAGTGCTGAACGGTTAGGAAGGAGCCAGCCACGCAAAGATGTGCGGAGAGCATCCAGGAACAGCAGGCAGGTGTTGGGCTTGGCATTAGAGAAAAGAGGAAAGAAGCCAGAGAGACGGGAGGGCGGTGAAGGAGGGGGAGGCGGTATGCGATGAGTCAGCAGGGAAAACTGAAGCTGATTGGGTGGGATCAGAACGGCGAGGGTATTATGTCAGGTGGTTTGGGGACACACCTAAGTCTTCAGTGGGGAATGGTGTTGGATATTGTACACTATGCTTTTATTTTCCTTGCTATAGGTTGCTTTTTCCCTGTTTCTCATTTTGTGACTATAATACATACCGTTAAGATTTTTAGCAATACCATTTTCAAGTAAGTTCCACTATTGTGCTAGACTCTTTGTAAAGTTATCATTGAACAAGATTCCTTTACTCCTCATTAAAAGAAATCAATACAATTAATAAAAAATGTAAAAATGTTACATGGAATCCTCATGTTGACTTGATGGGCTTAAAACTATTATTGATAAAATAATTTCAGAAATAGTCCAAGTATCTTCTTTGTGAAATTAATAATTACAATTAATCAACAGACCACTGCTACCAAAATAATAGTTACTCTAGGGTCCTGATCAATTGAACAGCACGTAGCATGACTTCCACTGCCTAATTCAATGGGAAAAATATAATGAATCCAAGAATATTTGAGTACTAAGCTTAGTAACTCAACAAAGACAGGTCAGTTGGACATGTATCTAAAATTCAACCTTTACACTTATGTTATGCAGTATTTATGTAGTCAGTCCCTTTTGTTCTCACCTGGTTAGTTTGGGGAAGAAATAGAAATACATTGTTTCAAATTTTTAATTTCTGTAAGGACTGCTGTGGGTCTTAGCAGTACTTGTATCTCAGAAAACCTAATAAGAGTTGAATGTGATAATGTGTATCTGTCCAGCTACTCAGGAGGCTGAGGCAGGAGAATTTCAAGTTCAAGGCCAGCCTGGACAATTTAGCCAGAGCCTGTCGCAAAAAGAAAAAACACTCTAACAAGGTTAATTAAAGAAGAAAAAATATATTTTCCTAAACAAATAAAAATATGTCTAGCCATTGTTCACAGGTCATTAGTCATCATTAAGTTTTAAGAGTTCCCTTTAGAGCAAAGGTTCTCAAAGTATAGTTCCTGTGGATGGCTGAGGATCCCCAAGATTCTCTGCTGGTATCTAGATGGCCAAATATTTCTCCTAACAGTACAGCATTTTTGCTGTTTTTTACAGTGTTGAAATTTGCACTGATGGTACAAAAACAATAGTGGATAAAGCCACCAATGCCTTAGGATAAATCAAGGGGTTCTGATTAAACAATACCTGTAGTCATTATAGTCTTCACCACTGCACACTTGTAGCAAATCAGTTAATTAATGTTCCACTTTTACTTAACAATCTCCTCGATTAAACAGCAAAAATTACTAATTGTATTAAATCTTGATCTTTAAGCACACATATTTTTAGTATTCCATGTTATGAAATAGAAAGTACACATAAAAGTCTTGTTGCAGGAAAAGCATACCTGTAATTACTTCAGTTAATGAGTTGAGTTTGCTGCATTTTAAAAATAAAGTATCATTTTTTAATTGAAATAATGGCTTAACAAATTATCTATAGTTGGATGGGTATTGGGAGATAATCTCTTAAAAATGTGCAAATTGAGCCTCTCACTTCAAGGAAAATAATAGTATTTTTTGCTTTAATAAAATACAAGCTTGCTTTTTTTTTGAAAGAGGGTCTTGCTGTATGGTTCAGGCTGGCCTTGAACTCATCATGTAAGGCTCGCCTCTATTGTGTGATCCTCCTGCCTCAGCCTCCTGAGTTCTGGCACAGCATGTGTGCACCACCATGCTTGGCTTAAATAAAAACTTGATTTCAAATGAAGACTGGAATTTTGGAAAACCTCTATCTCCTACTGCAAGCTTCACAGCTTTGCAATAGTTAAGGCTTTTTCTGATGAGGCTAAGGTGATATCAGTAAATGTGATTTTTTTTATATCAAATAATGAAGTGTGTCATGTCAACCTACTAAAGGTCTGCATAGCTCAATGAACTCAGTGAATTACTGAAGGTTTCCATAACTCAGTTGTGTATCTATACAGAATTGTGGATGGATAAAATATCTATTTAAAGTGCTAGTGAGACCAATGGATTTTATAATTATTATTATTATTGTTGTTGTTGTTGTTGCTGTTGCTGTTGTTTTGTTTTTTGAGACAGGATCTCACTATGTAGAGCAGGCTGGCCATGAACTCACTTATGTAGCCCAGGTGGGCTTCCAACTCATGGCAGTGCTCCTGCCTCAGCCTCCTGCTGGAATTACAGGTGTGCACCACCATGCCCAGTAGAGGCCAGTGGATTTTAATGTGACAGAGTATGAAAAGTTCATTTACACATCACATTCCATATTATTATTAACCTTTAAGAAACCACCACTTTTTGAGCTTGGTGTACCATTATGGAGAAAAATCCATATTTATCTGAAAAGGCTATTAAAATATTTCTCCCTTTTCCAATTACAACCTTTGTGAGGCCAAATTTAGTCAAACAATGTATTGTAACAGATTAGATGCAGAAGCACATATGAGAACCCAGTTGTCCAGGATTAGGCCCCAAATTACAGAAATTTTCAAAAATGTAAAATATCCTGTTTTTATTAAAGCTTTGTTTAGTGTGGTTGGTAGTTTCAGGTAGTTTGTAGTTAGTTTTTTAACATGCTACTTATGTTAACATGTACTGGATTTTTAAAGAAATGAATTAATGTCTAAATATTTTTAAATTTCTTATTTTAATTTCCTATACAGTGACTATATGCAGACACAACCTATATAAGCAAAAATATCATTGGAATCTTTAATAATTTTAAAAGTACAAAGACATCCTGAGACCAAAAATGTGAGAATTGCTGCTGTAGGGCTGGCAATGTAGCTCAGTGGCAGAGTGCTTGCCTAGTATGTTAGAGGCCCTAGGTTTGATCTCCAGCACTACAGAAAAAAAAAAAAAAAAGAGAATTGCTGCTTTAAAGAGTGTTTGTGTTTCTAATAGCCAGATCAGTTGTACAAGAGGAAAATTTCTAGGTTGTCACAATTCAGTATTTCAAAGTCATCTCATTGCATTTCCCCCTTTATCTCTCTCCAAGATAAGGGTGAAATGTTTTCCTAGAAGGAGTAACATTATGCAAGCAAAGAGAAAGCTAAATTTTCTTAGGGTCTCCAGGAGATTTAAAAATCAAGGTATCTAACACTGTCATATACTGTCGTGGTTTAGTCATTTTATTGTTAAAAGATTATGTCAGCCAAATTTTGCTGTTTTTAATCCAGAATGTCAGTGCCAATAGTGACAATAGCAGAGATGATTTAATGAAAACTTGAACTCACCTGTAAATACATTCGGATGAGGGAAGTTAATAACAATAAGCTTCATCACCATTTCAGGGTAACAGATGGCAATTAGCCAAGCGATCATGCCCCCCCAGTCATGGCCAATTAAAACACATTTGCTGTACCCTGAAATTGAGAAAAGATGTTAATTGAAAAGAAACAGGTGAGTGGTGCATCATTACCTCACAAAAAAAATAGTGACATTTCTGAAGCTACTCTTTCCACCACCCTACCCGACATACGTTTTACAGATAAATTGCGGTTAATGTTTCTAAAACTAGCCTGTGCATCTGAATCATGTAGATAGCTTTTTATAAAATTTAGGTGCCCAGGATCCACCCTCTACTTACAGATTCAGAATCTCTTTCAAGAAGCTTTCAGATTTAAAAATAAATCTGAAATAGCTAGCACAGTTCTGTTCTTACAGATCTGAGTTTAGAAACCATGGTAAAGAGTGCACATAATTAGGTCTTTAATGCAATGATCTGAATTCGTTTAAATGCTGAGAAATTACTAGTCATAGAAAAATCATAAATGCTACATTTATGTCCAACCTGTATTTTTTTTTTTTTTTTTTTTTGAGACAAGGTCTTACTATGGTCTCGGACTGGCTTTAAACTCACTACATAGCCCAAGCTGGCCTTGAACTTGTGATCCTCTCCCAAGTGCTGGGATTGCAGGTGTGTGCTACTGCACTGGGCTTCAACTTGTAAATCTCCAGGAAGTATGTAGTTTCTAACTCCACAAATCCAATGTTACAACTAAATACGTCAAACTGAATTAGTGGAAAGTCTTAATTACAGCATCTTTAAGATACAGTTGGCACTGTGGAATGCCATTTCCACACATATATAGTAGTGGTCCCATAAAACTATAATGGAGCTGAAAAATTCCTATACTTAATGATGTAGCTGTCCTAGGGTAGCACAATGCAGGGCTCAGATGTTTGTGGTAATGCTGGTGTAAGCAAACCTATTGCTCTTCAAATCAGAGAAAAGCAGAGCACTTTCAGTTGTCTCTAGTATATAATACTTGATAATGTTAATAAATGACTGTTCTAGCTTATATACTTACTATATTATACTTATTGTTATTTTACAGTGTACTCCTAATTATTAAAATAATTACTGTAAAACAGTATCTGTGTTATGCTTAAAGCAGCCTCATGCATCTTACATTTTTCGTATCTTTTTACTGCAAGAGGCCACATCAAGTAATTGACATAATTTAGGCTTGTGTAAATGCTCCTCACGACAAGCACACAACGATAAAGCAGCCTAATGGTGCATTTCTCAGCATACATCCCACCGCAAGTAACACATGACTGTAAGTTTCACTTCATGTAATCACTATGATAATTTGTATTAGGTTAAATTAGTTTTTTAACTTTTGTTTTTAATTTTTTTTTTGTTTTTGTACCAGGAATTGTATTCAAGACCTTGCGCTTGCCAGGCAGGCGTTTGTGCCACTGAGATATATCCCTGACCTTAGATTTTTTGTTTTTTGTTTTTTTATTTTTTGTTAACTTTTATGTTTGCAGTACATAATGATTACATTTAATGTAAGGAATTGGTACATGTACCTAATACATCTCAATTCTTTTTTTCCCTTCCCACTACCCTCTTTCATTTTGCCAGTATCGGATTCGTTTATTTATCTTATAGTACTTAATAAAGTTAATTATCATATATACAGATTAAAAATCAGTTTAGTAGTTTGATCAATTTTGCATGCCTGTATTTGTTAACCTGAGCAACTGCTTTGAAGATAACAATATGTAATACAACAACCATTGTTAATTTCCTATCACCTTGTTTTGAAATTCTGTATAGTTTTTATTGTTTTTACGTTGCTTCATTTTTGTCACTTTGTTTCTGTTCTTTTCCCTTTAAAATAAAATTTTAAAATTTTTTTTAAAATTTAAAACATCAGACTAATAGACAAAAAAGGGTATAAAACACATAAGACAATTGTACTAAGTTAAGGTACACTTTTAGGTACACTGTGCTACATTATAACTTTTTCCCTCTCTAATGAGTCCTAAAAGATTTCCCTTGTACACCTAGGTAAGATTCATTTGTATTTGGGGCTGGGAATTTAGCTCAGTGGCAAAAGCGCCTGCCTGGCATGCACAAGGTCGTGAGTTCGGTTCCCAGTACCGGAGAAAAACCAAAAAGAAAAAACCAAAAAAAAAAAAAGATTCATTTGTATTTATTCCTGAAGTGCTTAACATTACTTAATTCAAGTATTTCTCACCATTACTATTCTAATACATACACACACACACACACACACACACACACGTTGATTTATACCTTTTATTTGCCTAGAAAATTTCACGATGATAGATTTAGGCCAAGTCTGACTGAATTATCATAAACTCTGAATGCAATACAACAGTATGAAATCAGCGTCTGAATCTATTTTACAGTAATCAAATTCAATAAACACGCTGTACGCTGACCCCATCCATTTTTTCTCTTCTATAAGTATTTAGTCTGATCTATACCCTTGTTAAATTACTGGGGAAAGGCTCTTTGGCTTCATGGTGCTTTTCAATGTGTTGTTTCCCTTAACATACTGAAGGTAGCTTGAGGTTTAGTCATACTGCATGGTTCCCTTAACGATACTGAGGGTAGAGTGAGTTTTAATCTACTACATTCCCCAGTGGGGATGTAGTAGATTAAATTATTGTTTAAAAAATACACATTCTCTCTTCTACTGCCATAGAAGAAATATACTGTGCTGCTCCTTTGACTTGGCTCTGTGATTTGCTTTGGTTTCTTGGTGGAACCAAAGTCTTTACAGCTTGACTTTAGGCAGTGCCATATGACTTGCTTACTGAAGCCTGAAATATGCTAGTGCAGCTGGGCTCAACTTCTGGTTGCTTCTGCCATTGCGGGAGAGGTCTCCCCAACCCGTTAGCAACTCATCTTTTAGCTTGGGCTCTAGACCAACTTACAGTAAGAAGCCAGCCCCAGGCAAACTCAAAGCCTGAGGCAAAGACCCAGAAAGATCTGACTTACTTTGACCTGCAGATCCATGAATACAGAAAGAAATGATTACGGTTATATGTCATTGAGTTTGGGATGGTTTCTTATACAATATTATTGTGGTACCAACTCATCAGTAAAAGATACATAATGTAAAGTACTTCTGGATCTTATAATATTTTTAAATTAATATTTAAGTGTGGGCTCTGAAGAATTAAATTTTCTGAGTGCAAGAGTCAAATTTTCAGTAATTGGTTCTAAAAATGATAAATAGTATATATTAAGCCTATTTTTTTTTTTTAATCAGATGGAACTTTCTTCCTCTACTCCCCCAAAGGATGATATGGAAGGTCTATTTTTAAAAAAAAAGTTTGAAAGTCATTCTTGACTGCATACTCTAGATGTATTATTTTAAATTTCGTGGACATATATTTCAGGCTGTGTAACCAAAACCATGGTGTTAGGATCCAGATAGCAGCGTGGGTAGATGGAAACTGCACCCTCCAAGAAAAGAAGTCATCAATTCACAATTTGTTGAAGTTAGTCCCTTAAAAAGAATTTAATACTGTTAAAAAAAAAAAAACTAACTTACCTAAGGAGTCTAAAATATCCTTTATATCTGTAATTAGACAGTCCAATTTATAATTCTCTCGATGACTGGGAGCATCTGTTTCTCCATAGCCTCTCAAATCCAGTGCAACAACTCTATATTCACTTTTAAATTCCCTCAGTTGGTGACGCCAAGAATACCTGCAGGGAGAAAGAAACAGTACAAACACCCTACTGACTAACACAAAAATAACATCAGTAGGGCATGGTAGTGAGTGCCTGGAGTCCCATCTACTTGGGGCTGAGGCAGAGGATCACTTGAGCACAGAAATTCGGATCAGCCTGGGTAACTTCGAGAAACTTTGCCTCAAAAAAACAAAAAATGAACACCAAAAACAATACTATTAAAGTTTTCCTAAGTGGAAAGCTGTAAGACATTCTTTATTTTGAAAAAGGTTATATAGTTGTTTCTCAACAAGAAAAAGAAAGCCATGGGAGAAGGAAGCACTGACTTTACTGAAATTATTTTATCTTTTTACAAGCTTCAGCAGGGTATGATGACAAAAGATTTTATAGAAACTATTAATAAAAGTTGGATACAAAAATCAACATATATAGATATTTATTTCCAAAATCAATTTTTTAAGCTTCTCTTAAATAATGCTTATAGCCATCAGGGAATCTGTACTAACACCAGTCCATTACTTTACAACCTGAATTAAATAATTATGAAGTTTTGAAAAATGTGAGGAAATACGAGCTTGAGTGTTTTATAAAAATATCTGAACACTTATCTCACCCAGGACTTTTGTGGGGCAATGTGAGCAAAATGTTTTTGTATACTCATTTGATTCTCTTATTAGAAAATTTATTAGATGAAAATATATTTCCCTCAAAAGTAGATGTCACTCATCTTACTCTACTATCAAAAAGGGACCAGAGGTTTTAGTAATTACTGTACAATAACTCATTTACACATGAAAAAGTCTGAAGATCAAAACAGATTGTCGCTGAAAGAACCCAACAGGACGACCGTTTCAGATGAACTTCTACTTGCTATGCAAAAGTCTCTGGAGAAGGTCCAAACCGAGGAGTACAAGCAAGGGTGACACTCAAAACAGTTAACAGCCGAAGTGTCACCAGCACTGCTGAGTGAGAATGGCCAGAGTGCTGCAGCCAAGCCTTCCAGGACTCTGCAGACTCTGCCGGGCATTCCCTCTGTGCTTAATCATGAGACTGCGGAAGTAACTGACAATAGAGATCTAGGAGGACTTTCTTCCTCAAAAAAGCAAAGTCATTTTGGATAACTAACAAGAAAAGTATATATATATATATATATATATTCATATTCAAGGTGACTCACTGTGTTATAGAACTCAAAATATGCATTTTTAGACAAGCACCCTCATGCACATCTATTCATGGAAGCACAGTACAAAATTATCTGACACAAGCCAATGGGCTATTGACTGAAAATATCTCTGGAATGCAATACACAAGCAAACACAAAAATGTAAAATTATAAACCCATAGTGAGAAGAAGACTGCAGTGCAAACTGACATAAAAGTCAAGCATGGTGGTGCATGCTTGTTATTCAAGCACTTTGGAAGCCTGAGACAGGAGCATTGCAAGTTCAAGTCCAACCCGAGCAATTTAGTGAGAACCCGACTCAAAAAAAAAGGGGGGGGGTGCTGGGGATGTAGCTCAGGGTAAAGGCTCTACATTCATTCAGTCCTCAGTACAGCTCCCACTCCAAGTGGCATCAAGCAATCAGATCAAAATAACAAGTCAATCACCTCACATCAACAGATAGATTATCAGGAAGAGTTTCAGACACATATTTGGAATTATGAATGCACACAAAATCCCTGATCTATTGCTAGGATATGTATGACTTAAACGTCTGCAAAAACACCACCAATTAAGATGGATTTGAAAAATGTTAATAAATACTTTTTGGCTAGATCATAGTAATCTTAACATTGGCTCTAGGTTGTAACAGACAAATGAAGCAGTTTGTTTCCTTATAGATTCCTATGGATTGACACAGGTAATTTTGTTATTTTCTCATTAGCCTTGTGATTTTGAATTCAGTCTCTGGAACTGAAGCCCAACTCTCCCCTCTGTATAATCTCTCAGACCCAGTCAATAAAGTTCTGCAGATTTAACATCTTAAATATTTATGTAATCACTCCTCCTGTCCATCTTGTTATGATTACATTAATTCAGGCTTCCATTTTTGCACCATTTGATTGACTGGTCTGTGTCTATTTCATTCCTCTCAATCAACCAGAATGAGGCAGCAATAATACAAATTTTCTTATTTCTCTGCTGAAGATTTTGTGATTCTCTATCATTTATAACATGAATCCTATGCTCATTATTCCCAACAGACCAAACCTTTAAGATTTGACTACTGCCCAGTCTTCCAGTATGATCACTTTTCAGTCTGTAATTTTCTTTGTAATAAAAATAAATGACATCTACATTATTCTTACTATATGCCAGGCCCAACTCTAAATGCTTTACATATGGCAATGTTAATCTTCCAAACAATTCTTCTCAGTAGGCATTATTCCACTTTACAGACAAGAGTCAGGGTATAGCAAGGCTAATGGAAGTGCTGAAGGTCAATGAGTTATCATAGCAGAGCCAGGATTCAAAGCCAGGTAGTCTGGACTTGGAGCCCACCTTATGCTGCCTCTGCAGCTTTAGACTATTACAGTACACATACACGGGTATCATGTTTTGCTTTTATGGCTTTGTTCACAAGGCATCCTTTGAAATACTATCTTCCCCATGACCCTCCTATTATCTCACAATCCCTGAACCTCACCCCTCATTCACATGGGGCATATCCTTGTCCAGGAGTCACCCAGGCTGCCTCATTTACAGGTTTGGGTGGCTTCCTTCTGTACTCTCCAGTGCCCTGGGCATGTTATATATGTAATGGTCTGTACCTCTCTGGTTTTTCCACTCAGTAGTGAGCTCCCTGAGCTGTGTGTAGGAACTTAATAAAGATTTGTTGAATAACTGAAAGAACAAACTAATGGGACACTGATTTAAGTAGTGCCAGTTTTCCAATTAGACTTCTGCCCCAGTTCAAACCTTTACACATATTCCTGCTGAAGAATTCATAAATAATAACACATTTGATTCATACTTTGTCCCTAAACTGACAAAAATCACACTAGTGATAGACCGATGGGCATGTCACTCGTATGAATAAAATAAAACACCTCCCTGATACAGAAATGAGGCATCTTAAAAAAGCAAAAAGAAATGAGGCATCTTACAAAAGCAGTAACCTTCCAAAATATCTTAAATAAAACTATTTTCATCCACATTGTCTTTTTTTCTTGTAGCTTTAGGTAATAATAGAAGCCACTCAGGAAAAAAAATCAACTCTTTCCCGGTTACTATTCTTAACATAAGGAAGGCTCCCGGTTTTACCAGGTAGGCAACTTTTAGAGGTAAAAACATCCTTTTCCTGTTCATCGCAGAAGACCATGGGTGTCGGCCTTTTGCTCAGCTGCATGCGTGAAGAGCCTTCACTTGCCTTGGCTCAGCGTTTAAGTGACGAAGCACGGTTTCCACACAGCTGGTGATGAGGCCGACTCACAAAAATTGCCTGGGTCAGCTCAAAATATTTTTAGAAGAGATGCAAATTGCGATGGATAGAGAAAAATCATCCTCTGACAGGCTTATTTGAGGCTAATTTAGCTAAAGTTCTGACAGATGTGTCTTTGATGTTTCCTTTAGATTTTAAGACGGAATGCTCAGGATTTTATTGTCTTCTGTGTACTGTGTAATAGTACACATTAAATACACCATTTCTCAACAGCTATTCTCAAGCAATGATGATAAATGTAGACAATATGTTATACTTGTAGGGTGCTTCTCTGTCTAAAAACCCACTTTCACACACATTACCAATTTATGCTTATTTTGTTTTCGTTGTATCAAATACTTCTGATCTACTTGACCTGCCTATAAGCTTGTACTTTCATACATACTTATGCAAAGGTTAACTGATAGAGAAATAACATTAATGTAAACTGAAAGTGTTTTGAAATGCCATGCATAAAGTATTTTTGGCTCTTAAAAAAAACAGAGTTTTCTTCTGAAACGTAAATCTTAGAATTTGGTCCTAAATTCTAAGATTTGGATTTTTTTCACTAGCACCCGAATGGAATTGACTAAACTGCTGAATGGATAATAATGGCACCCACTAAAAGTTCTATGTATAGCAATCATCAGGCATTTCTATTTTGCAAAAGAGTGCTCATGAATAAACCATGGAACAATGTTATGGAAAAGCATGCAAAAAAGTACATCTTTTAAGATAAAACAGAAAGCATTTACTGTCCTGTGTTAAATGAGCTCCTCTGCCATTCTCTGGGACTCTGATACAATTATCAAGTGGTGGAAGTGGTTGTGGGTTCATTTTTATCTTTATGTAGATTGTTCCACATGTAAAGAGTTGACATTTCAGTGGGAAAAAGAGCATGGATAGATATTGGGGTAAATATGACCCCCTACTCAGACCATGAATTCTGTTTAGAATTATGATTTAAAATATTAAAGTAAGTTATTCTTATATGGTACATTGACTTTTGAGTCAAGATCTTGTTATGTTGCCCAGGCTCGTTTTGACTTCCTGGACTCAAGCTGTCCTCATGCCTCAGCTATCCCAGTGTTGGGGTGATGGGGTACCACTCCACTCAGCTTGCTGGATGACTTTTTAACACCTTCTTGAATGTCGGTAAAGGTATGAAATTTTAGGAGTGACAACTCACATTATGTTTCCTATAGATTGAGGACAGACAGCAGAGTTTAGCTCTGAACTATAAGAATGAGGAGGGCCTTACTTCCTGGTACTGCTAATTTTAAAAGGAGTGCTATGGGCTTTACCTGAGAAGATACAGGCAAAACAATTTTAAGAGTACTTGGGTCACTAAATCCTTAGTAAATGTTAACCATCATCACTACCACGGCCACAATTAGGAAATTATAGATCTCCACATTGAGTGATGGAAAATGAAGGAAGAAAACAAACATTTATTGAGTATTCCCTGGGGCCATGTGAATGGCTTTCCACATGTTTTGATTCATAGCATCTCTGCAAGATTATTATAAACAATTGTGCAGGAGCACACAAGCCAGTAAGTGGCTAAATGAGAATTCACTGCCAATAATACTCTGAGTAGATTTGACTAATGCTTCAGAGTGACATTTTATTGTTGTGTCATGCACTCTATATCACGTAATCACGAGTCTGCGTACATATGCTTAAATTGCATAGGCAATTATTCTACCACTGAATTACACTATCCCCAGATAGAAGAACAGATGAAAATTACATGTTTACTTATGCAGCTAGATCCAGAAAGGGAAAGAAATCCTCATGAAGAGAAAGTCACCTCAGGAAGAGAGGTACTCATGTCTTAGGGCTTGTATCTAGACATCCCTCCAAAGCTTCACGTGGTGATAGGTGGGGCTTTTTGGAAATGGCTGGATCTATGGTGTGTGAATGTGGATTAAAAATGTGATACTGAGGGCCAGGGATATAGCTCAGTGGCACAAGCACCTGCCTGGTAAGAATGTGATACTGGGATTTAAGGATATATGGCACTGGATTAGTCCACTAATTGGTTTATAATAGTTCTTGGTATGGGTAATGGGAAGCCCTAGCCTGGGTGTGGGTGGCACCACCCAAAAGGCTTGCAGCCTGTGTGGGATAAAAGGGAAAGGGAGGTTTGCTGCTGCTGCTTGCTGCTTCATTGCTTTCTGCCCGTCCTGCCATGAACTGTTTCTCCATTTTCAGTGCTCCTCTGCATGTCACCTTGCTTGCAGCCAGTCACTATGGACTAAAACCTCTACAGACTGTGATCTAAAATAAACCTTTCCTCTTTTAACTTGTACGTGTCAGATATTTTGTCTCAGAAATGTGAAAAGAAAGACACCATGGGTTTTGCTCCAGAAAAAGCATGAGGTAGATAGATTTTTACTATCCTCCATTCCATTCTTCAATGCCTAATACTTCTTTTTTGTTTGTTTTTCCGGTACCAGGAATCAAACTCACAACCTTGCACTTGCCAGGCAGGTGCTGTGCCACTGAGCTAAATCCCCAACCTCCGCCTAATACTTCTTGATACAGTGATGCCTTCAATGGACTTGTTCATATAGTCTCCTTCATTCAGAAAGTACACGATTAACTAACTCATCTAAAGTTAATATTCTTCTCAGAGACAGATGCATTTTAAATCAGGACTTTGGGCAACATAAAATCTTTAAAACTATAAAGAAACTGAAGAATTATAATGGTGGAATTCTAGATATTATGAATCAGTAAAAGAGAAATTTTGGGGGAGACTATTGTCCCAGACTTTTCAAAAGACACTGGATAGTCTACCTTTGAGTCACCTCAGAAAATGTGCTTTATATATTTATTTATTTCTTGACCTATTTAGTTCAGACCATCTGAAGATCATAGCACTGTGTTATCAGAAACCACTAATATTTACTATCCCCCTCCATTTGATATTGAACCTAGGGCCTATCATATGTGAGACAATTAATCTACCTCTGAGCTAAATTCTCAGCACTTTCTTTCTTTTTTTTTTTTTTTTTTCTTTTTTGAGACAGGGCCTCGCTATGCAGTTCAGGCTGGCCTTGAGCTCACTTTGTAGCCTAGGCTGGTCTCGAACTCACAATGATCCTCCTGTCTCAGGCTCCTGAGTGCTGGGATTATAGGCATGTGCCACCATGCCTGGCCTAGCGCTCTCTTTTTCTTTTTCTTCTTTTTTTTCTTAGACAAGGTTTTGCCGTGTAGTTCGGTCTGGCCTTGAGTTCACTATGTAGCCCAGGTTGGCCTCAAACTCATGGCATTCCCCCTACCTTCAGCTTCCCGAGTTCTGGGATATAGGTGTGCCCAGCTGCAGCCCTTTCTTTAAATTTTATTTTGAGACAGGGTCTTGCTAAATTGCCCAGCTGGCCTTAAACTTGTGTTCCTCTTGCTTCAGCTTCCCAATTGTAATTACTTCTCTGTTAAAGATATTCTATTACAATGTTTTTAAAATGATAAGTTATTGCTTTCAGCTGTATTTATTTGGCCTTGTGGGGCCAATGGAGAATAGAAACTTTCCCCCAGGGAACTTCCATGGTCTGAATATGTCTCTTAAAATTTAGATGTTGAAACTTAATCACCAATGTGATAGTATTAAGGGAGGGGCCTTAAGAGGTGATTAAAACACAAAGGCAACATCCTCATAAATGCTATTAGCAACCTTATGGCCTGGGGGAACTAGTTAGGCCTTTTTTCCTCAGCCTTTATATCATGTGAGAACACAGCTTTAAACTTCTCTGGAGGACACAGCAACAAGGTACCATCTTGGAAGTTGAGACTGGGTCCTCACTAGACACCAAACTGGTTCCAGTCTTGATCCTGGCCCCCACAATTGTGTGAAATAAATTTCTGTTCATTATAGGTTGTTCAGTCTCAGGTATTCTGTTATAGCAGCACAAACAGAATAAGACAGTAACAACTGCATTTTTGGCTTTAGGTTTTCTTTTTAATGTGAAATATTCAAGTCTTTAATTTAGTCTGCATTCATGTGAGCCTGTTCTATGTGCACAGGAAATAGTTTATATTCATCAAAAACTTCCTGATAAAAAGCCCTCCAAGACTTTGCTTTGTTTAAAATCTCCGGATGTTGTATTTTGTCTACAGCAGGTACTTTATAAAAAACTGTTTTTTAACCATTTCAGAAATTTGAAAATTAAAAAACACTTCTTGTAAACAAAGAAGCAAAAAACCCACTTTCTGTAATATTCATAAAACTAATAAATTTAGGACAGTCACATATGGATTTCTTTAAGAGGGAAACCATTGCTTTGCTTAAGGAATATTCAGGAATAATAGATAACTCTGGGTAAATTATCATAGGGTAGGGTCTGTCAAAAGTCATCACAAAAAGTGATTTTTTGATAAGTGCTATGCTTTGAACGTTCGCTCCCTTCAAAACTCATGTTGAAATTTAATTGCCAGTGTAACAGTATTAAGAGATAGGAACTTTAAGAGGCAGTTGGGCCATGAGGGACCGGCCTCTATGGTGGAATTAAAGCCATTATGGAAGGATGAGCTCACCTGCTTTTGCCCTTTTCCTTTTCCACCTCAACAAGAAGGTCCTCGCCCGATAGTGCTCCTTGATCTGAGACTTTCCAGCCCAGAATTCTGAGAAAATTAATTTCTACTCATTATAAATTAGCCACTCTGTGGTATTCTGTTATTATAGCACAAAGTAGACTAAGCCAAGAAATGAAGTTTTAAAGCAAAAGAAAAAGGTATTCAGCAAGTTTACCAGAATTCTGGAAATCCATGAAGCAGCAGCATGAGTGGCTTGCCTCTTTCCCCAGCAGCAACATAGTGAAATCTTAACCCCGAATCCTGAAAATGGAAGGCATGGAATTTTAGTGATGTTTGGTTTTGATTGTCAGACTAGAACATTGAGTCATTTCATTTTATTTTTAAAAAGCTGGCTTGCATTATTTTTAACATCAAGAAATAAAATATTAATTTTCAAAAATAAAAACTTCATGTTTTATCAAGATAAATTGACTCAGTTTTATGAACATTTCCCTCATGGTACCTTCCATTCTAGTTCTCACTACAAGGTCAATTTATATACAGGTATTTTGATCTTTTGAAGCAATGTCACAATTTGTAGCTTTCATCTTATGGATGTGTCACCTTTCATCTCATTCAAATTTGGCAGGACATATAAGTAATTCTGATCTGAATTTATATTTCTGCCAAGTTTACTTCCTAGTCATGTACTTTTCTCAGCTTACCCGTCAAAAGCTGTGCCATCAGTTACATAATTCACACCTCCTTCCCTTATTTTTAGGTCTCTCCTTCCCACATTATTATTTTGAGTGTTGCATGTACCTTCCCCTTGCGTCTGCTCCCCATACCACGTCAGTGTGTGTTTCTAACAGCAGAATCCCCAGAGTGCTCAAGACTTCACTCTGCATGTGGGAGTCACGACAGCCCAAGGAAAAGAAAAGGAATGGGAATGGGAGGAGAATACAGCAACACTAAGGAAACTAAGGAGAAGATAGGAGAAGAAAAAGCAAAACTGAAAGAAAGGTGAGAGAGAGAGAACCAAGAATCAATAGCTGTATATGAATACTGAGTTACACTGTGTACCGCTACCCAGCATCTGGGTTTTCAGATGTTAATGTCATCTTAAAGATCTCTAATTCAACACCGTCATTTACAGCTCTCGAAATGAGGCTCAAAGGTGTTAACACAGGTGACTGGGAGCACAGCATGACTAGAATCCTCATCTTGCACAAACTCCCAGGACGATGTTCTTCCCACATGCTTCCCGGAGGGCTCTTACTCCTCCACTTGGACAGAGTTAACATCTGACTTTGCCCTCACTGCAGAATCCCTTCCAAGAAGTTCAATAACTTCTCTTTCGTTTTGGTGGTAAGTCTTAGAGGATGATTGCTGCATAAATGTGTGATTTAATGCACACATACTTTACTGCACTGATGTGTCAAGTATTATTCTAAGTTGTCCAATTTTTTTTTTTTTGTGCAGGTGGTGGTGGTAAATATTAATTCAGTTCTTCTGTCAACCGCAGGGTAAGGAAGGACAAGAGGAACATCTTGAAGGAAGAAAACTCTTGCTTTTCTGAACTCCATCCTGTTGGGAAGTTAGCGCCTACTAGGAAATCAGGACTTGGTGACATAAGTATCTCCTCATGCGACGCTGGGTTTGAAGGCCTATGAGTCAGACTGCAGGGTACAGATCACAGGGACTTGTATTTCCCTTACCACCTGGAGCCTCTGGAAATAGAGTATCTCTGGACCATGAGAAAGCCTGGGACACGCACAGTTACGGGGTACATGCACGGCTGACATTTACTTTTAATGCCATTCCTATACTTCCTTCCTCACAAACATATAGCATTTATTCATTTTTTGCCGTGCTGCCTAGGACACTGTGATTACAGCAAACCCTAAAGTCCAAAGATTTACTCTTTCTATCTCAAAATTTGAGCAAAGACAGCCTCCCGAGACAGTAGGGCATCACCAGGAGCAACTCCCTACAGTTGATCTGAGCTCCAAAGGGCAAAAAGGTGACAGTAGGAAAGGAAGTACAACTGGAGGACTCTGATGAGGAAACTCCGGAAAACAAAACGAATCTCTCAATCTGTGTGTGTGCGTGTCTGTCTGTCTGTCTCCCCCGCCCCCCACACACACACGCATAAAGACGAGCAAACGACCCCTCTCCCGCCACGCCTCGCCCCGCCGGCCTGCCCTTGCGTCTTCCCCGGGCGCCGCGCCCCCCACGAGCCAGGGCATCCCCGGAGGGCGCAGAGCCCGGCGTGAGGGAGGGCGCAGCCCGGCCCGCCGCCCCCACGGCCGGCACGTCCTTCCCGCGTTACCGCCAGGCCCGCGCCGGCCTTCACCTTCATGCGCACGTAGCAGTGGGTGCCCAGGGCGGGGTCGTTCAGGCACGCGGGCGGGTGCTCCCGGGCCGCCCGCCGGAAGGTCTGCGCGGGCCCCTGGCCGATGCTCCACAAAAGTTTGAGCAGGTGGACGGACGCGCAGAGCCCGCTGTAGCCGTAGACCAGGGACCAGAAGAGCAGGGAGCGGATCGCTCCGGCCAGGCGGCGCAGGCAGCCCCGCAGCCTCGCCATAGGGCGGAGCGGCGGCGGCCCGCGGCTGGCCTCGCTCGGAGCGGGGGAG